TTTTTAAGTTTATTTCACTCGATTCTACTTCTTGAATAATATCTCGGAACCCTAATCTCTCCTATTACTGCTAATACTTCTACCACCTCTTATACTATGGGATTTGAATTGACAATTCCATCTCTATGTGTGCTAATGTGGTATGACAACTTGAACTGATGTACGTACGCACGAAGTTCTACGTCGCTGTTGATTGATTGACTGATTGATTGATTGAGCTACCTGCAATCTGTCAACTAATATTACTCACACATTCAGCCTATTTTATTAATCTAATATAAAATCTCTATAACATTTTCTTAAAACGAAAATATATATATATATATTACAAGAATTTAGAATGAAAAGCAAGTCACTTTTTTTTTTCATGAACACACTAGACAGTATAGTTATTCATAATGATGTTTTGCTTATCATATTTAATTCGTAATAAGAAATCATAAATGAAATGAAAAGACATATATATGCATTCATTTTCATTATTTATATCGATATTATGCATATGCATAGACGACAAGCTTTCGAGTTTAGAAAGCAGGCACGACTGAGAAAAAAAAAAAATTTATATATATATATATATAGTATTTTGGAAAAATATCAAAACAAAAACAAAATCATATGACTTAACTTGTTTTGATATAAAAATATATTATAGAATAGTGATTGGAATTGAACTGAACAATATAATTAAGGCAAACAGTAAGTAAGCTGCTATTCTATCAATCGAAATTCCAGCTGTTTATTTTTAATATAGAAATTCTTCTTTTTTTCTACTTTTTTTTTAGAATTAAAAATCAAATTAATCAAAATAGGTGAACAATATTAAATGATAGAATAAATTGATGACTTTGTTAGCAAACATTACAATTCAGATTATTGTTCGTTATCAATCAACTGACAAGTAAACAATATGCATTAGTCAAGTGAATGACTGATTTTTTTACATGGCTCAAATCAATCTACTACGTTTAGTTTTAGTTTGAGATATCAATATCATATCGCTTAATTATCTACCTAAAAAATATGAAGCTCATAGAAAGAAATGAATTTGTGTGATGAAAAGAAAACTATAGTAGTGAATTTCAATCAGTAGTTTTTTTTAAAAGAAAGTTTTGGTAGGTCGCTTTTAAAACAATAACGAGTTGTAGACAAATTTTGATAATCATGGAAAATAGACTCATTTGAGTCGATATAAGTGATATAAACTTGAGTTATAGACTTACTTACGCCAGTTAAACCTCGTGGTAGTGTTGTGTCATATTATCAATCTCAATAAACAAACCTACATTTAAATTTTTGATTGTTGGAGGTAGTTGGCAGGAAACGCTGGAAGTAGGTTTTGTGTTAGTTAAAACTTGTTTGCAAAGTATATCTGCAGTCTTAAAGAAACTGACTTTTCTTGTCGAAATCGAACAAGTATCACTCACTTTCACAATCTGAGACATTACATCCAACCAACTAGTATCCAAATATAGTATATCCGATATCGAGTCGATTAAATTAGTGGTCGATAAAATCAGATTACCGCTAAGAACTAGGCAAATATGATGTTAGTCAATATTCGGTGATCAGTTAATGGAAAGCCAGATTTCTTTATAATACCCGATGAATCACGTTTATGATAGTGATTCTGACTGACAAAATTTACTCCATTACACACTCATTCCATATTATTTGATGGGATATAAATATACTGATTTCATTGAGTTGTTTCAGCATATAAACCTGCTTTGTCCGGTTCTACTAGTCAACGCTTTAAATAATAATGATAATGATTATTCTGGCTGAAAGTACTTCAAATGATTTATTTTAAACATTTACAACAACTGAATAACAAAATATATAGATGGAAGTCATATTTCAAATTTATTGCAACTGTCAGAACATATAGAGACTAGGAAAGTAGTGAGAAGCTATTTTGTCCCCTTGGTTAGGAAACTTCGTAGCAGCTTCACTCATGACCCTGCTAGCAGACAGACAGACAGATACAACGCAGAACTTCGTTCGTACGTGGTGACTTTCATCTCGCGGACCCCAACCAGGTAGCCTACATCTACCAACATGACTCAGTTCACTTGTCAGTGATTTCATGCATTTCTGCCATGTTTTGGTTTGGCCACCCCTGCTAGCAACTGAATCATGGACCATTAGGTCTTACAGAGAATGACTTATATTCAAACCACTTAGCTAGGTTGCAATGGTGTATTTCAAATCAAGATAGCACTTTGAAATGATAGAGTATTTTGAATTGACAAATTAGAAACAGTATAATAACAGATTTATGTTATTGGATTATTAAGTTTTTACCAGAATACGTTTCTAGATATTAGTAAGATTTATATTTCATACAATACAGTCGATCTTCCAGCTGTTAAGATAAGCAGTGAGATAACCTTCAACAAAAAACCCTTGAAACCAGAACGTCAAGATATACTAAATATAGTAGTGATATTACTTTGTAAGTTACCTTTGAATTAACTTAAAGATTCATAAAAACCTATATATAACTTATGTATGAGTAGAATAACGATATACACATGAACATATTTATCACACGTAATTATTATTGTAATGATTGACATATTCCTTTATCTGACGTCAGAGTAGACCTGACGTATAATAATTACTGCTTCATTAACCGTACAAAAGTTAAATCTAAATTAAATAACAAACAGCGAGATATACTGGTTTTTCTAGCCTACCAACTTCAAATTTAGAAGTAATGAGAAAACTCAATGAATGCGTGAATAAACATTACGTTTAACTATGTGATTCTCTAATAAATTTTTTTCGACTGCTTCAATAATTTTAGGTTCCTGGAAACTTAATTATTTATTGAAGCGTTTCATTCATTTATTGGAATAATGAATGAATCAGTCATTGCTAGACCACTATTAGAAACCTGGAAGTACACTGGATGGTCGTTTCCTTCTAGCATGGGACTCCTCCGCAGTGCACATCCAGTGGTCTAGAAGTTAAGCATTCGCACGCAGAACCGAAAGTTCTGGTTTCGATTCCCGCGGGCTGGGTCATAGATGCTCACTGCTCATTGCTTCCAGATTTCTAATAGTGGTCTAACAATGATCGATTAATGTTTCATTGGGACATAACAATTTCTATAAGTCTATAATGAAAATTAGCTCATTTAATCATGTAACGCAGTAGTATTGTCAGCTTTTACATAGAGTGAATGCTATTCTGTAACCTAAAAGAATAAATGAGCCTGTAAATTATTACTGAGATGCATGTAATTAGTTTAATAATTTTTTGTTTATCCGGATGTTTGCTCCAATGTTTTAATTTGAATAAATCATACTAACAACAAATTTTGAATATTATTGCTCTGTTCAATCATGTGTATGGAGTTGTGGAGAAAGAAGAGGTTGAGTCTAATGGTTCCCAATTTTGTGTTTAATAGATTTCACTTCATCAGTGAAAACATTGTCAAAATGAAAAGTTTTAATAAATCATTTAACTGAAATATTTGGGGAAAATTTGACTTCAACTTCCGAGAATGACTATGATTTGTTATGGATTCAATATTCTAACTGTATACATTGAGTAAAAATGAATTTATTTCACAGAAATTTATAGCTATCGATATCATGTCTTCCAATAATTTGGATAGAAAATCTCGAAATTCCGGAATTATTTTTCATATAGATGAGTTTCAAACAACATAGAACTTTTGTATATGTGAGTTCATATGAATAGAATTAGTTTAACACCAAATTGAACCGATAAAATTGATCTTTGAATTCATCGATTAATATTTAATACTTTTGTTTTTATTTAGCCTTATGTAAAGTATCGAGCATTTTAAATGTATGTTTATTCATCTAAAACTAACCAGATAATATATAAAAGAAATTAGAAAGAATTTTAACGACTGATTAGTTCTTTTGTATACAGAAGATACTCATGATGTACAATCAACCGTAACAGGAAAGTAAAGATTACTGGCCAATTTGCTTAGTTGTATCCTGAAATATTCACTCCGAATTAAACAAACTTACACCTTATTTGAATGATAATTATATCTAGGTCATAAAAATAAAAACTGTTCTCGAGCAGGAAATAAATATTCACAATTGTGTCACAATAAATGGAATAAACATTAAAAAGTTAATTGTTTTAGTAGATAGTGAGTAATGTTTCGGCAAACTCCTAATCAACTCAAGAATTAGAGTAGTATATACAGATCAATACAATTACTTACAGAGGAGTATTGTTAATTTCAAAAAGGGAAATCAAGTTGACTTTAATGTCTAATATAACTTAGAGTTTTGGAGATTTGTGTTTTTACACATTTGAAATCATCAATTAATCATTGTTAGACCACCATTCGAAACCTGGAAACACTGAAAGACGGCTGTTGCGTCCCTGTATAGGACTCATCAGCAGTGCGCATCCAGGACTACTGCACATTGCAGGATTCGAACACGGGACCTACAGTATTGTGCGCGAACGCCTAACCATCGGACCACTGGGCCGGCATCCAACGGTGTTAATGTCTAACTCTGATTGATCCAGAGATTTTGCGCGACCTCAACCATTTGTCTTTGGTAGTTACTGCCTACATCCGACAGGGTTGAACTCCGAGAATTTCTTCACGAAGCTAGTCACTAGTGAGCACATGTTACGATATTTTCAGTTAGAGTTTTGGAGATTTTTGTTTTTACATAATTGAAATCATCAATCAATATAATTTAGTTTCGATTTAGATCAAAATAACAAAATTCGATTTAATTTAATCCACTAACCACTAGAAAAATAAATCATTCTAAAATGGTTAAATCTAGTTAACTCTAATGAATACTAAACCCAACTATAAATTCAATTGTCAATCAATACAATTTACTTAAACTCATACATATTATAGGATAACAATTGTAATAGATTATTATTTAATCAGGAAAACATTATTTAAAAAAATACCAAAGAATAATAATTATGATGATTATCTATAAAATAATATTTGACATTTTAGTTGAGTTTACCTTTTTAAAAATTTCATATTTTCTTGTTGTTTATGAATACATGTAGACATCATAATTTGTTGAAATACACGTCGATCTAATGCCCATGCTGATGCATTGGTTACAGCTATAAGTAGAGAAAAGAAAAAAAGGGTGAACGAAGTTTTGTTTTAAAACAATTTTGTATTATTTATTATTGAGTTTATAATTAAATTTTATTCACAGATTATTGATATGATATGATTACATATAAATTATAAGTTTCTTAAATAAAATTCAACTTCCAATTACAAGTTAATGAAAACTTTTCAAATGAATCAATTTTGTGTATTCATCACATTCATCAAAACATCTCGGATTACTTTGATGAACAAGTAAATTCTACTGACGAAAGTGAATCCGAAAGATAATCACTTAATTTGATTGAAATAACTGACTTTCAATCATTTGGTTGAATTTGGAACCTCCTCACTCCTGTTATCTACTTCGACATGGGTAGTTGGCTTAAAATAACAATGATAACTGTGTATATGTAAATCTGTAGATAGTTAGTTAGCTAGTTAATGATAAGTATAAATTAGCAGATCTACTAGAATTTCATATTTGCTCTTAATTCTATGATTTAATAAACAAAGGTAATATTTTATATTGAATAATATATGCCAATAAACCACGAAATCATTTTTACTAATTAGAGAAATTAGAACCTTAATTACAGAATTAGGAAAATTTTCAAATGTTACATTAATTTATTCATATATGAAAATGAGTTCATCGGAAATTTTCTTAGAGAAGCCTGAATAATTGTTAAAACCACGAGAACTGATCTGGAACAGTGAGAAACTGTCAAATATTATTCAATCACAATAATAATAATAATAATCTGTGCAACAACAAATTCCATAAATAAATGAACAGACAGAGACAGAGAGATACAATGCATTAGCACAGAGAAGCAACTGTCAGTTCAAATCACATAGTGGTAGAGATAATAGAAGTATTAGCAATATTGGAGAAGATTATGGAGCGAAGATATGATTCGAGAAATATATTTCAGTTAGATAAATTTAGAAAGAGAAAGAAATGATAAGCAATTCAGAAGTTTAGGATTTGAGAACCAACCAGGTTGCCTGTATCTACCAACATAACTCAGTCAGTGATTTTATGGATTCGTGCCATGTTTTGGTTTGGCCGCCACTAGCTTTCTTCCAACCTAATCCTACACTACAAAACATAACTCGTCGAGGCATTTGGTGGTTAGGCATACATAACACATGTCCCAACCACCTCACCTGATGAATAAATGAACAATATATAAACGTTATAAACTAATAATCATTATGTGAGTTAATTGGCCACTTGTCAATTAAAAAATAAAGCTGAGAGTACAAGAAAATAGATATTGATAATTGCTGAAGAAAAGATATACGAAATTTAAAAAAAAAACGAAACAATTTTCTATCATGGTGAAATTAAGGATAAAGTAAGATTAGTAATGAGATTATTGTTATTGAATAAAAATTCACTTATGTACATCGATTAAACTGGAAAATATGAAATAATAAATTTAAACTCACTGAATCAGTGATAGTGAGTTAATTAGAAACTTAAAAAGTCTATTTATTTAAAATTATCAAACATTTCAGTAAGGCGTTGCTTAATTCTGAACGAAATATGAATACAAACACTATTAATCAATGACTATCGTGATGTCGAGATACAGTAGGACAATATTCACTAGAAATCAAGATTAATTGATTATTAGAACTATATAAAAGTAGTTTTCATTATGTTATACTTACCTCGAACAGATGCAGTTCGTTTACAATTATAAAGTAATGCCAATTCACCAAAAGCTCGACCGACTTCCATTCGTCCAAGTAATGCATTATCTTTGCATACCTCCAATATTCCATCTAATAACAAAAATATTTTATTAAAATATGAATAAACTAATAAACTATGATTCATATGAATATTCATCAAAATTTAAATGTAAAGGCTGCCAGTCCTTAGTCCGGATAAAGGAGGAGGGTTCGTCACGGGGTTGGTGAAACTATTCCATACAAATTTAACTCGGAAAAATGCGCTAACCAGCGAAATAATTCGCTGGTCGGCGGCCAATGCTCCATCAGGTGGGGGGTTAACAGGCGTAAGTAAGTAATTTTTTAGAAGATATCTGATTCTGTTTAACAGTTATACTTGAAATAATTCCAACTTCGTATCTCAGCAAACTGGTTCGACATTTTTCCGAGAAAAATACTTTGTATACTGAGAAGTTATTAGTGTAAATTCAACATTAAGAGAAACTGATAGTGAATTTATCATTGTGTTTTATTACTATGCAACAGTTTAAATAGGTAGACATCAGAAGGCCACAGTATAACAAGTAAGTAAGTAAGTAAGTAAGTAGAGTGAAGGACACATGAAGATGATTTTAAAGTGTATATTTATACACCATATCGACCATGGATATCATAGAGTTTTGAAGTTAGCTTTGATAAATATCTGTGGGATACCATCTAAGCTACTGTGTTTCAAGAATTTGAGAAATCTATATGTTAGCATAACTTTGACTTCGTATACAAACGAAGACCCTTTTCTAAGACTCGACTATCAGTTCACATTGAAATACTCCAAAAGTAAACTCAAGATAACTCTCCTGTTGAGTTGAAGATTGATACTCTTTATTCTTGTATTTACGTAATCAATATTAGTGATTGATCGAATGATTAGCTCTTCCAATCATTCTATTATCACTATATATTATGCAACATGTTTTATTATGTAATGATCTTATTACACAATCATATACATAAAGATTTCTAACCTCTTGACAAAACATTTCAATCTAAAATAATGATGTATCTTTTATGAGGTGGGAAGGCCTAAGCTCAGTCATTTATTCGAATTAGTTATCACAAAATAATTCAAATTGATTAAGTTCTTTTATAACCAGTTCATCAAGATTGATCATATAAATGATTGACTACTTCTTAAACAGTTTTCTCTACAACGGTTGGTTTCGATACTTTGATACTGTAGAATCAAATTGAAACTTTTGATTCTCAGTGGTACTTCTATAATTTGTAATGCATGCAGCTTTATTGAGATGAGATTTCACTTTGAAATTGTTAATTTACTGACCAAAATAATACGGTGTATATATGGACAGACGTCAAAATTATAACTAACTGTTTCTTAGAGTTAGGATGTCAGTGTTTTTCTAAAGAACTTATATGTCAACCTTATATCTAAAGATAAACAATGTAGTTGTCGCATAAACATATCAGACTTTTTTTCCGTCTGCCCCAATAGCGTAGGATTAGATAAGTTTCAAGGAAATATACACGTAGACCTACTAGTATTTCAATGTTGATATTGACATTCACACTCAAATTTAATTCCTTTCAGTTGTAACTATAAGCTAAACCATGAAAATCAGTTCAGAATGCACACAAGTCAATAAAGACCGAACACTGGTAATCGTAAGTCCCATATGCATCGTAAGTATCATCCCATAAGTCACTAGAGACTAATCATAAATAATCGTGAATACAAACAATGAGATATTCATTACAAAACTAGATTATTATTATTAAACACATTCCTATTAGAGAATAATAAATTCTTTCAACTACTGCTATAGAGCTACTGATAAAAATTTTTTTAAAAATAATAATAAATCATGTACAATAATTATATTACTTCCAGCAATAAAAATCTTACCTGACACCACATACAATGCATCGCCTGGTTCACCTTCACGTATAATATAACATCCTTGAGGTATTTGTTTTTTATGCATACACGCCACTATTTCTTCAATTTGTGATTGTTCCAAATGTTTTAAAAATGTATTATTGCTGATAGCATCTCGAATTAAACCAGCAGACCTGTATAGGAAAAGACATCAAACAAAAAAAGACATCATCAATAAGGTTTAATGTGAAAATAAAATCTAAATGAATTAGGTATTTTCATAGATTATTTTTATTATTGCATAAACTTTATTATTTGGTACAAATAAATGAACATGGTAGTAACTGGTTGACATAAAATGAACCGAATATTTACAAAAGTTAAAATTATATATATTTATTCTGTTTCATTTCCACACAACTTGTTTTGTGAATTTTGTCAGCACTAAGCTAACTGTAACAATTTGGACTGATACAGAGATTTTATAGATCATAAGGTTAGTTAAATCTGTTTATCTATCTTGTTCAATAGTTAATTCATTATGAATAATGAATAAACCTTGTTACATAATTGGTTATGATGATTCAATTAACAATGAGCATTTAGTTAACTTTATTTCATGTTCAACGATACCAACTATTCAGTTGTCATACATGATATTTATGCTTTTTGCCAGTAAAATTTAGTGTAAACCACTAATGTTCACGCAGAAACCTACAGAACAACTATCGGTTGATCTTCTAGGAAGTTAAGTTTTCAAACTTGTGAATACTGGCTGTAGTCAGTCAGTCAGTTACGGCGTAGAACTTCGTACGTGAGTGCATTAGTTCAGGTTGCTTTGCCAAATTAGCATAGAGATGCAATTGCCAATTCAAATCCCATAGTAGTAGAGGTAGTGAAAGTATTAGCAGTAATCGGAGAGATTAGGGTTCGGAGATATCATTCAAGAAGTAGAATTTAGTGAAATAAACTTGAAAAAGATAAAGGTGATGAGGAATTCAGAAGGTTACGATCTGAGAGAACACAAAGAATACATGTACCCGCGCTATTTCAAACGGTTTTGAGCCATGTTATTCAGGGTCTCTAACCATCAATTACTATCATCTTGTGGGCCCAAACCAGGTAGTCGACACCTACCAACATGACTCAGTCCACTTGTCAGTGATTTCATGGATTTCTGCCATGTTTTGGGTTGGTCGCCCCAGCTATCTTCCAAGTTTTTCCTACATCGCAAAACACAGCTCGACGAGGCAGTCGGTGGTTAGGCATACGTAACACATGTCCCAACCACCTCAACTGATGAAGTTGCACTACCACATCTATTGATTTGCTATCCTGACCTAGTACTCGTTTTCTAACAAGTGCATTGCATATTTGGTTGTCCCACGATACACAAGCACTGCTTCGGAGACACCTATGATCGAAAACCAGTAACCTACGAATATTTTCTACTATGACTGGCCATGTTTCACATCTATGTAGTAGGACGGAGCGAACTGTTCGTTCTTTGGTTAGCAAAGCAGTAAACAAGTCAATATTCTTGTATTTTGTTAAAATAAAGTCTTTAGTAATTTATCATGTTGGTAACTATATGACAAAATATCCTAAAATTAAAGCCATTCAAAAGGCAGAAGTAACAGATGTTCTAGGAGAAAAACAGATATGCTCAGCCGCTCCTTTCAGACTAACCAACCAATGATTACCTTTAATAAGATCTAATGTGACTAATCTACTTACAATATTTCCCTTTGTATTTTCATATTTTAAACTTATCATATATGCGTATTCATCAAAATTGGAATGACTAGTTCGTAAAAATTACATCTAAAATAATCTTATCGATTGAAATCTAAATGATTCTATCGTTTCACATAGAAGTAAATTGGTTCGAGTTTCTTTAAAGAAATCAAACAATCGATTTTTGGTCATTAAGATTAATTTCAATGTAATTTTTTATACTTAATGCAGTGAATTAATCTGATTGAAATACTTTGATTATTGCTATTATTATTATTATTATTATTATTATTATTATTATTATTAATACTATTATTATTATTATTAGCGTTTGAGATGGTGGAGAAAACTTGTAGCTCAGGTGGATGATTGTGGTGCTGTTTCGTTCTCTGAGCTGGTTGTTTTGGTTGTGGAGCTTTCATTGTTCTTCTGAACAACATCATCAGCACAAACTTCAGATAGAACAACCAGCTCAGAGAACGAAACATCACCACAATTATTAGTGTTTACATATCTTTGCATTATAATTCATATTAATTTTGTAAATGAAAAAAAAAATTTGGTCAGTACTCAACCCGTTTACTATCACTTACAGAATTCATTTCATTTCATACAAAGTTTGTGACAAAATAGTTTACATAATGTGTATAATTATTATCAATATTTTCTTTCATCTAAATTTTTTTTCTGATGATTTATTTCATAATTCCAATTGATTTATAAAGAAACGTATTCAATTTATCATCACATACTAGTTAGTTCATCAATATTAACATCTTTATTTTACAAAGTCTCATATTCAGTTAGTTACAATGTTAAAAAAACAACCGATTTATCACAAACTTTGCTGTCCTCTTAAATTATTTATTGCGATTTAAAACTGTAAAACCTGTGTGAGTGTACAGAAAATATCTGTATTTGTGATTAGACTAAAAAAATTACTTGCAAATATTTCTTTTCTGTCCGATTTCTCAGAAATCTTTATTTTTAATCGAATTAGATGAGAATATCCTCTTTACTGTTACTTTGGATTGATTACATACCTTCAGAAATGTTAAATATGAGAACTGATTATTTAAACTTACGTTTTAAGAATGAAAATATCACTTGCATATTTAGCTGAACTAATAAGTAACATTTTCAAAGACTGCATCATGAAGTCATCTTGTTCAGATCAACCATTAGATGATAGGAGACTCTTGACAGCTGTTTCATCCTGATATGAAACTCCTCATGATGAACTTTCCATAACCCCACCAGAGAGGGTTAAACGCAAGATCATCGGTATTTAGTGTGATTGCTTAACCTCCACGCCTCTGAGTCGGCAACCAGTGATGTGCATTTCTAATTTCAGTCGCGTCACGATATTGTACCACGATATTTCGTTATCTGAGGTGATGAAATTTATCACATCTGATATGGTTTAACTTCATTAAATAGTATGAATAGATGATCTTTGTTCATATTAATAAAAGATATAACATTGCTAATTATGTCTTAGAATGGAATCTACTACTTTCTGTTCGCACAATAAAATGGCCTTGAATACAATTGTTTGTAAATCATTCAAGCATACTGTGGTTGGATAAACGTATTCTTTACTGAATAACGGAAGACCTTATACTCATAATATTTTCCATTGTTAACTGAAGCTTTACAAGGAAATATACCCTGTAAATAATCATTGAGTTTACTTATATGATCAAAACACTCAAGTATTCTAAGAAAATATGATGAAAAATAATACCTACTCCTATATTTTAGGCATCGTAAAATTTACTGAAAGATATAAGAAATAAATAGCGTTTTCATTTAATTCAAACTGTGACTACACTAATCAGTACTTCTTTTAAATCTCCGGCATGGATTTTTATCGATACAAGACAGTTCAGTTAGAAAATCATTAAAATTTTTAGTGAATAAAAATAGAATAAATTAATTCTGGCTAAAAGTATGGATAAGTTAGATGAAGTCCCAAGAAATATCAATGAATTCACTATTCTGACAGATAACAAGTGAACTAACTGAGACACTTTTATTTACCAATTAATGTAAAAAGTTTCACAAACACCGAAAATAAAAGAAAACACCTAATCACTTAAACTATAGCATATCAAATAAGATTGTTAATATTTCGTATTTTTCAAGTAACAAAGATACCATTCATTTATTAGTTTATCTAATTAATATTATCAGTTGAAAGGTTATAAACTTTTGTTGGTTTAATTCTAATTTATTTCAACAACACTTTTATTCTTTTGACGTATTTAGTTGTGGCAAGCTGTTGTGGACCTTAGATCTCCGGAAACTCACTTGGAATGATCTTAATTTTGGATTTTGTGTTTCAGCGCATGGGCTGATCGGTTGAACCTGAGAATACATTTCCTACTCGGAAAATCCTTGATTGTCATTGGTTGATGTATTATTTTACTAAGCTATTTTTGTGGCTCTCCCAAGGATCTTTCTATCATGTATAAATAAACTCGATTTGTGTGCTTGTCAACCTCATGTTTTCTGGGTGCTCCTAGAACTCTTTTTACGCCTTATCAAGTCTTCTTGATTTAGTTAGCCGTGGCGGGGACAAACGGATTAGAATAGCCTATCGTGTCACTGCATCATTTGTCTTCGCTCCGTTTACCGAGTAAGGTGAACTCGTATTAGTTTCAAGCATATCAAATGACGAGCATATCACAAACAGAAGATTCAACTTGTTGGCCACATTGATTTGTATACAAGATGATGAGTCCCCAATGAAACAAAATCTGTGTACAGAATGTCACTATTAAACACAATCCAAATATACTGAGAAACTGTAAGTGAAAGGTAATCTAAAGACAATCCGTTGAAGATGTATATAAGCCTATAGAGACTGACCGATTGGAGTTCTTAATAACAACAACAGGAAACTAGAAACCATTAAATATCCATCTGAACATGTTATTGATTTTCTTTAAATATCTGTTAATTTCCAATCTCATCTGATAAAAATCTTTACCCTTCAACCATGAGCATAACTTTTATCAAATCTATGTATATAGTGGTCTTCTCGTTCCAAATTTTAACAATCTTAATGTTTTCCTTATGTCTATTTCATTGGTTTATAATATTTTTGAAGCATTTGTGACTAATACTAATTGTTTGTATCAAACATTTATTTCTTATCGTTTTAGCGGAGAGATTAAAAGAGATAATAGAAGAATCGTATGTTATAGATTAGCCATAAAACGGTTATCAGTAGGTGTATTAATCAGTTAAGACAGAAGCCTGTCTTTCATTCAGCTGAAAAGAAAAATATTTGTATATCTTTACCATTTAGAAGCGAATCGATTGGTTTAATCTTAAGACAGAGATTAAAAGCAGCCATAGAGAAAACAGCTACGCAGCTAAACTGATTATAATTGACAAGACTAAGCCCATAACTGCACATAAGCCTAAACAATGCGCAGCTGATTACATC